CACATGGCTTAAAGGAGGGGACAAGGCTCAATATCTGGCAGCTGCAATCTTGAGCATGGTGTGCATTTTGATGGGCTCACGGATTGGGCTTGACTTCATCAATTGATATGTTTTAGCAGTCCATCTTGCAGTTCAGAATCTCATCTTTCCAACCACATATTATTTGGGCCAATACAAGTTGGGAGGAAGAAGTTAAAGCCAAAACAAATTGCTAACTCAATCTGCTCGTTTTTGCACCATTTTGCATCTTTTCCTATCCAAAGCCACCATTGCCACCTAAGGCCCAATGAACTAAATGATAAACAGAAAAAAGATTAAAAGCACAAGTTTAACTCAATAACCAAATTATAAGCTAGAATGGTACAAAATGATATACAATTTTGAACTGATCAGAACCCAAAGAAAAACTCACAGTTATAATCATAATCCATCTCATTTCTTCATAAGGGATGAAGGTAATCTCCAGCCAAAAAAGAAAAACAAGGTAGCCAGAGCAAGTCTACTTCGGTCTTTTGTAAGCTTCATAAAAGTAGCCTAAGATTACAACAGCGTCACCAATTGTAGCTCTTATTGCACCTTGTGCCAGTGTCACAAGCTTTGATAGTTTCTTATTATGTAATTCAACATAATTTCTAAAAAATTTGTTGATGAAGGTTGTATAAATGGTACATCTCTTTGTACATCTTCAAGGAGCATTGTTTGTTGCTGGTTTAGACAGTGGGATTGTCAATGTTTACAACAAGGAGGAGATTTTGGAGGGGCTAGTGGCTGTGGAGGTGGTTGGGGAGGGCTGCAAGTTTGGACCAAAATGCCCCTCAATAAGTATTAGAAATTGGGAATTGTCCTTAAATTGCATTAAATTGAAACCACAGGGACAAAAGTGACGAAATTGAAATCATAAGGACCTTAGTAGTAAAAGTAGTAAACCACAGGGACCAAAAGTGACTTTTTGCCGATTTATAAAGCATAGAAAACCTTATAGTCATAGAAAAACATAACAATGATTATGCAATAACAGAAATATTATTACCGAAAAGGTGGCGATTGTGGCACCGGTGGAACTCTGAAACCAAAGAACAACCTCTGCAACATCACAAATAAACAAAATGAGTAACACACATTTTTGAAGGAAAAAAAAATTATAATGTGACACGTAATTTCTTAGGATATAATTCATTATTTACATTATAGCGAGAAAAGCCTCGAGTCTCAAGTGTCCCTTGCCTATCTCTAGCTACAAAGATAAACACACATTTTTCCTCGCTTGATTTTCAAATAATTAAATTTATATTAATGTATACAACGCAACAAAACTAATTAGAAGAAGGAGCCAAAGTATAACTATTTGAATAAATCTCATCATTTGCTTTGACAATAACAACAATACTGAACATGGCCATTGGCAAGTCACAATCTTAGTTATTAACAAATTTTCAATAGATTCCTAAAATATAATCAACAAAGAGCCTAGAACAACTATTCATTCATCTGTTTTCCATAAACAACAGTCTAAATAATAACTTCTAAAAACTCAAAAATAGAAATGAAACTGTTGAACTACAAATTTACCATGCATCATAACTTCTGCCTTTAGAAATTGAAAATAGATAAACTTAAATTTGACATGGCTCACAACTATATGATAAAACGAACAATCCCAATGTATGAAACAGAGTAAGTTATTTAAAATTCAGCCATGATAGTATATAAAAATTAAAGACAATGCATATTACAGAAGTTTGGTTAACAAAAATAAAGTATAATACATGCGAAGTTCATAAATTTGCTTTGAAAAAAAAAAACTAAATCTTGAATATGTCTGGTTCATAACCATAGTCAAATCTTTAATATAACACATACTTAGTTCATCAATTCAAAAAATCAATCCTACCACATATCCAAATCATAATTTTAGTGAAGAAAAAAAAAAATTATACAGATACTATTCTCTTTTGTTTTTCTCTCTCTAGCAGTTATCAACGTCATCAGGTTAGTCTCTCTTTCTCTCTATCTCATACATGTTCATTCATATTCATATATTGGCAACATACCACATCAAATAGCTATTAACACAGTTTTTAACATCTCTAACATGAAATCACCAAATGAATAAATATTACACAAAATTAGTATAAAAACATATGAACATAAAAACAAAAAAGAATAAATAAAAAATGTTGACAACAATAGATCATTACACAATTTAGAGTAACCCCAACAACAGTTGATGAATTGATTTTTTTTTTGTTTTTTTGTTTTTTTCGTTGGGGATGAAAGCAAGTGTTTCTAAAACAGAGAATAAAGCAATTTGCTCAGCAAAAGAAAATAAACTCTCATATGCCAACAATCATTGCTCTTAAAGACTTATCTTCTAAACCTATCACTCACTCATTCGAGGAACCAATTTGAGCAAGGAATTAAAGGATTCAACAATTTGCTCAGCAATGCATCAACGAGTCACTAATTTGTTAAAAAGTTGATGGGATGCAAACTTGAAGACAAACGATGCAAGAACTCGCAACCAACAAAGATGGAAGATCTCTCATATCCATGCTCTAGAAATCATGAAAAATCTCTCAACCAACAAACAAATCAATGAGAGATGAAGACCAAAAGAAGGGTGAGATTCACAATGCGCCGCCCCAAATGGGAACCGACGGCTCCAAACGGATCCCCAACATCCAAGTAGCTTATCCCATCGCTGCCCCCTAACCAGCTCAACCAAGCTAGTTCAAACTTAACTGCACGTCTCTCCGAACCAAACGGGGCAATTGCGTCATTTCATTGTGCTTAGGAACAATGTCTAGTTAGATTGAGTTTTAGTATATATAAATTTTTTGATTTGCTTCAACAATGCCAATTCATGATCCTTCTTCCATCTTTTCAGGCCTCGTTTGGTGGGCAAATCAAGGTTGGATCGAGACTACGTTCAATCATGTTCCATAGAGTTCAGATTGAGACTTGTTTTCTCTTATACGTGGGACTATTGTCCAATACAATAAGTCTAGTTCCTCGTTTATTAATAGTACCAAACATCTAATATGAAACTAGTTCATTTTACTAGTCATGTTGATGCTAACAAAGGATTGCAATCATTTCTTATTGTTGACATTGAGAAAGTAAATCCTCTCATCCTTCTTTTCCCTTTTCAAGTTATAATCACATTAAGAATCTAGATTCGTCATGAACTTTATAAGAAATGGCTATGGACAGTGATTATGCACAAGAGCGAATTGATATGAACTTATTCTAGAAGCATTACGTTCCTTAATTATAATATCACATAAGATAAGATCAGGCCACTTTAGGCAAGCGTTTATCATATTAAGCTCAGGTCAAGAATTTAACCAAGTTAATGTGCATGTGGTCTTATGCTTGTCTTGAGCAATGAAAGTTGTGCCTCAACGTTTTTGACAGCAATGCACTGATTCTCAAAGCCACCAAGGGGGTTGATAGAGAGCTTCATCTAGAATTCTTTGAAACAAAGAAAGTTTCAAGAGATTTCAAATCAGAGCCAACAAACAACAAGTGCATGTTTGTGCCTTCCCAGCCATCATCCTTATTCCATCCTTTCAGGCCTTGTTTGGCGGGCGGGCGATGTTGGAAAAACAACTCCAACGAAATTAAATTTACAATAAATTCTAAATTGAAATACAATAAACAATAAATAAATGAAACTGACTTGGATTCGAGATAGAGCCTAGCATATTTGATGCAATGTCCTAAAGACAATAATTTCACCCCTTCTCGATGTTTGAAGTTCTACAGGTGACTGCCTCCCAGGATTCAACCATCTATATTAGTGAAGTTTGTTTGTTTTTCTTTCAGACAATATGAGTGAATGTGCTTAAATGATTTTTTTTCTATTTAAAAAAAAAATGAATGAGAGCTCTTCTTACTTAAATAAACTTCTAAAATCCTATCAGAAGAGTTAGAATTGTTAACAAAACTGTTATTTAAACTAATCCGAATTAATAAAAAATTATTAATCCGAAACTTAAAAATTTATTTAAATCTGAATATGAAGCTTAAGGCCCATCTTTTGATAATCTATATATATAAAGCAAAAGGCAGAAAATGGTGAAACATTCAAAATACCAAAAAATGCCCTTAGTTAATGCAAACATTAAGAATTGAAATTATTAATTAAATAAGGATAATATGGTAAATTCACACTTTTTTATATTTAAAAAAATTAAAATTAAAAGAAAAATTAGATAGTTGATCTTATTTTTATGGAACACAACTACCCATTTTCTTTTTTTATTCTAAAATAAATTTTAAAAAACCTCTCGCAGGCGCGGAAGCGGGTGCAGAGAGATTAGTTAAATATTATATATATACGCAAATTGCTTCCATTAGGTCCCTTTCTCCATTTTACCAATGTGGGACAAAAGATGTCTTGGATTGTTCCGTTTAGTCGTCGTGTTCCGTAGAGTCCATATTGTGATTTGTTTTCTCTAATTTGTGAAAATATTGTCCAATTTAATAGTTCCTCTCGTCCATCTTTTCCTTATCTAGGCAAGCGTTTATTATATTTTAGGCAAGCGTTTATTATATTTTTATTGGCCAATGGCCACTACAGAACTTCGAACCTTGACAATAATTTCCTCATCCATTTTCCTAGAAGCTTGCTGTAACTTATTTTTATAAAATAATATCCATTTGTAAAAGATTGACAAAAAATAAACAACAACAATCTTGATAATTTTTAATGATAAGTCCAATCAAATCAACGTTATATAATAATCTAGCAGACGTGTTTGATTCATTCATATCATTTACTTTTGTTTAAATAATGAAATTCAACTTCATGGGCAAAGAAAATCTCTTGTAACAATCTCTTTTATTCAAATTATTTGTTCGATGTCAGCTTTCTGCATTAAGGGCAAAGAAATGTTTATATAAAGGTCAGGGTCATAGCCTCGTAGGCGGTCCATATCAATATCAACGTGTATCAAACAAGTCGGTTTAAATTAAATGGAACGATTATTATTGATGTCACCTTGAAGCCTTCAAGCACCACTTGTTGCATTGCAGGGTCCATGTGTCAGACCAAGTCCAAGTTAAGAGCAAATTGACATTGATAAATCAGTTGTGGATTTGGTAAGAGTTACTGGTGCAGCCTTTTCTCCAATTTCCTAAGTCTTTTATGGTATCAAGAGCTTCTATAATCTGACGATGTTTTTTTACCCAGGTTTCCCATGGCCAACTCTAATAGCTCTGCCCTTCCTACCAATGACCAAATTCCTCCGCTCACAATTGACCTGAAACAAATGTCCACTGTGGTTGCCTCAAATTTCTCATATTCTTCGTAGTCAGTGATCTTTTTGGCTACGTTGATGGCACAATCCTCTGTCCTCTTACGTCTCTTCCTGGTGCTGCCGAAAATGTCGTCAATCCTTCTTATCTATATTGGGTCCAGCAAGATCAGACAATATTGAGTTGGATAAACAACTCACTCACTCCGTCTGTGTTGTCTACTGTGGCGTTGTCTCCCACATCTCGTCAATCTTGAGTATCTCTGGAACATCACTATGCCTCCACCTCTCACAACCGCATCCTTCATCTGCGCAATGAACTCATTCGCACAGACTTGTCCATTTCAGAGTACCGAGACAGAATCAACTCGATTGCAGATGATCTTGCACTCGCTGGCAACTGACAATCTCAGCTCCACATCCACACTAGCTCTGGTACGTTTCGAAGCAATTGAAGCCTTAGTTTTATGTTCTTCTGATGATTTCTTGTTTCTGAGCTTAACCCAACAATTGTTTTAGGATTTAGAGGTTGGTTTGTGAATTTGTATTTTGGGTCTAACAATTGGGTTTTAGCAGGGAAAATATCAGAAACTAATGGAGGAGGAAAAGCTTGATCTGATTCACTATAAGTGGCTGGCTTCTTGAGGTATATATGAAATTATAAAACACATGTAAATCCTTATATATTTCCAACTTCTGAGACTGAATTTGGTTGCTATATTGTTGAAGTGGCTGTGTTCAGCAGGAGTGATTTTTGGGAGGCTTGATTTCCAATTCAACAAGTTAAAAGCATTAACTTGGATCGACTCCTTGATCGACAAGGACAAAAGAGACTCCCTTGCTTGCTTCTTAAATGCATGTCCCTTGCTGGAGAAATTGTTGGTTGAGGTAATTAAGTGTTTTTTTTTTTTTTTGGTCAATGAGGTAATTAAGTGTTTTAGACTTCTAATATCAGTTCATCTTTTTTATTAAATTGTTTCCGTGAGTTGGTCAAGGGAGTTGGTCACGGGAGTGAGCTCGACCCCTTGCGCTTAAGTTTGAATTCCCCTTTTTATGTATTAAATTTATATATATATTGGTTGAGGTAATTAATGCTTTGAGCTTGTGGTGGCAGATTGACAGCAACCTCAGCACCATCCCCTGCCCATTGTTCTACCAATACTGGCATGAGCCTCACCTTTGGATGGACTTTACAAGTGTCACGTCGAACACTTCACAGCTCAAGCACCTTAAAAGCATTGAGTTGCTGGGCTTCACTGGCAGAGACCATGAATTGCAACTAATGGATCTTTTGCTTGAAAAGGCAATTAGGGTCAACTCATTGACTTTAACTTGCCCTGAATTTTTATCATAACAAATTGTAATGATCCCACTCTACTTGCAGTTAGAGCTTGGTTCTTTGTGTAACGCTCCCAAGTACTAAGGTTTAAAATGTCATTTCGCATGTATAGTCAAGTTTATATATAATTTTTCTTTGCATGTGAAGAAATTATTAAGACCACGTCAACTGTCCGTTCATTCTTACCAATTATGGTAACCTAATGTTTTGAAATACTTCACAAAAAGCAAACTTCGTCAAACTTAAAGATGTGATGTATTCTTTCCACACAAATCAATTACTCTCTAATACGAGGTTATGGAGGATTGTCAAGTAAAGTTGTGCATAAATGAAAGGATTAGTTTCACCAACACGTCAAGAAGTTTTGACTTTTTCAATTATAGTTTTCATATATTCACAAGTTTGGTCATGTACAACTTTCACTCTTTGATCATCTTTTACCAAAAATAAAAATGTCTATTTTATAATTATTATATTTCTTTTTAATATAAGATTCACCGGATCCCTCAATATAAATAAAAAGAAATGTAAGAACAAGTCGTAGGTGAATTTATGACGATAAAGATTTGGTCTCATTAAGGCATGATTTTGTTTTTTATTTTTTATTTTCGATAAGGGACTTTGTTTTGTGATTTATCTGTTGTACAAGTATTTTTAAATATCCTATCATTTGTATAAATAAATATACTAGCCTCTCCGCACTTCCGCGCCTACCAGAGGTTTTTTTTTATAAAAAATTTTAAATTTTATTTTAGAATTAAAAAAGATAATGGGTAGTTGTGTTCCATAAAAATAGAATCTATTATCTGATTTTTCTTTTTTTTTTCTTTTTTTTTTTAATATGAAAAAGTGTGAATTTACTATATTATTCTCATTTAATTAATAATTTCAATTCATAATGTTTGTATTAACTAAGGGCATTTTTTGGTATTTTGAATGTTTTACCATTCCCTATCTTTTGCTTTGATATATAAAATTTGTAAGTGAGTTCAAAGAAAATATCAAATCCTAATTAGCTTGTCTTAAATTAAATTCAAGAAAATGTCTATTTTACCACCTTATTTATAACTAACCGTATTGGCGCTAGGACAAATAAGAAGTAAAACAACAAATCAGCTGCGAAGGAAACTCTGTTACTGTTAGCGTCAAAGTCATGGCCATTGCCGCCGCCATCTCACTGCCTCTCACGTCCCCAGCTCGCCGCTCCCTCGCCTCCTTCACCTCTCTTCGACCTTCTTCTCTAATTCTGAAACTCAACTCTGTCAGGGGAAGTGTCGCTTTGAGAACTGCTTGTCTTCGCGTCTCGGCGGCCTCGTCTTCGATGAGCGTCGAAGCCGTCGAGAAAGCCTCGCCGGCTTCTTTTCTGGACCGGAGAGAGACCGGGTTCCTTCACTTCATCAAGTACCACGGCCTCGGCAACGACTTCATTTTGGTAATTTTATATCTCTGAATGAAAATGTGTGAAAATTTTGCCAATTTTGAAATTTGATGAGGAACGAAAAGCTTAGGGTTAGGTGTGCTCGATTATCTATTTTGAGTTTTGGTTTTTTATTGATTATTTGATTATTTGATTTTGCGAGTGATAGGTTGATAATAGGGATTCTTCGGAGCCTAAGGTCACTCCAGAGCAAGCAGCGAAGCTCTGTGATCGGAACTTCGGGATTGGCGCTGACGGAGTGATCTTCGCGCTACCGGGCATCAATGGCACCGATTATACCATGAGGATTTACAATTCTGATGGGAGCGAGCCCGAGGTGACTCACATTTTCCCAAATATTGACTTTACTTGATACTTTGATTATTTATGATGCAGATATGTTGCATTTACTAATTGTATGTATGCAAGTTTATATGAGTTATGTTTTTCGAATTTCTGAAAGTTTGATGTTCAATTTTATTGTGTAGATGTGTGGTAATGGAGTCCGATGCTTTGCCAGATTCATTGCGGAGCTTGAGAATTTGCACGGGAAGCAACGGTATGGATGTGAGCTAATGCTATATTTTTGTTTTTATCTAACAATGCTTGCTAATGTACTGCATTGTTTCCTTTAGTGTCTGTTTGCATTTTGAGAAGGGAAATGTAATCTGTTTTGTACCAATATGCGTGTCTATTTTCTAACAATGACCTTGTGTGTATACCATTGCAGCTTTACGGTGCATACTGGTGCTGGTCTAATTGTTCCAGAAATTCAAGATGATGGGAAGGTACGTTCTTGTTTACTCCATGTATCAATACCTTCTCGTTTATTTTATGTGTTAGTTTAAGTAGAGCATTTCAGGTTGAGATACTTTAAACACATCAAACTTTACTAATGGCAAAGCGTGACTTTGAAAATATTATAAGAAGGCCCACTGCTACTCTGCATGCCTCAGTCATGCTTTAAGTATGTGGATGGTCATCTTCAATTTAGCGGACATTGACTTTCTGAATTGCAGGTTAAAGTTGATATGGGGGAACCAATTCTAAAAGCAACAGATGTACCTACAGGACTACCTGCAAACAAGAATCAATCTGTCGTTAAGTCGGATCTTGATGTAGATGGAGTAACCTGGAATGTAACATGTGTTAGTATGGGAAATCCTCATTGTGTAACTTTTGGTACAAAGGGAGGCCAGGTAACTATTTTCTGGATTAACTTGGGACATACTAACTACTAATAGGGGTCTGTTGCAGAGTTTTCTTTTAATTGTCTTCTTTCTGATACTTCTCTTTTCTCTGAAATGAATGACCTAGTTTGGACGTAAATAATTTAGCAGAAGCAATGATACTCATTTTATAATTCATTAATAGTTGCCCTGTGGCCTTTAGTATATCACATCATTTTCAAATGGTTGAAAGTTTTCTTGAATATCCCCAACTTCCCCTCTTTCTACTTGCATGATCTCTTGAAGTAGGACTTTTGGCAAAATCAATCATTGCTGACCGTCACTTCTTGCTTTTGGTTGGAATGGAACAGAATTTGCAGGTCGATGAATTGAACTTGGCTGAAATTGGTCCAAAATTTGAAAACCATGTGGTGTTTCCTGCACGAACTAACACAGGTTAGAAAATATTTTTCTGTGGGCATGCTTTTGTTATTGAAGTCGATTAGAGTTTAGTCTTGGTGTATTGTTAGATGCTATCATGCTACAAATCGTTTTTTTTTTTGGTGTTGTCATGCTAGTCAAACAGCTAGTCAACACATGTATGCTCTGATATGGCCTAAAGTGTAAAAAGAATTTATTCCCTGCCCTATCCTCATATGGTTGTGTGCCTTGTTTAGCAGCTTGAAACACAGTTACAAGATCATATAAAGATCATGCTATATATTTTAGTGCGATTTAAATATTTATTTTCAATCAAACTTCTTTGGTCCTTCGGTTTTGTCTTGTGAGCTTATAATTCTTAAGTATGTTTCTGTATTCATGAATCTCATTTGATTGTGATTGGCAGAATTTGTACAAGTTTTCACTCCTTCACACCTCAAGATGCGTGTTTGGGAGCGTGGTGCAGGTTAGTTCTATTGCAACCAAAAGAAAAACTTATTTGTATTGTGATCTAATATCAAATCCCCCTTTTCTAGTGGGAAATTAATTACTTTTCATTGTAGGAGCAACACTGGCTTGCGGAACTGGTGCTTGTGCTGTAGTTGTTGCAGCAGTTCTTGAGGGTCGTGCTGAGCGGGTAAGTGTTGGCATGCTATTTGCTGAATATTGTAAAAAGTTAACATAACTGGTTGTGCCATTTTGCTCTATCAGTTTTAACATTCAATTTTAAGAAGAGTAAAGTCATATATACAAAAATGATGATTCTAATTATCTTAAAAGTTCAATTTTACTTTATTATCTCCTATCGGAAAAAATAGGTTCACTTTACTATCACAAGATTCCAACTTTTGACTGTTGCTTCATTATTGGATGATGGATTTCTGCTGTTAAATGCTGGCTCCAGATTAACCTCATGTTTACTGTAGTTTCTTTTACTCTCTTTCCACGTTGCTCATCTTTTTTCATGCTTATCCTATTGGACACAGAATTGCACGGTCGATTTACCAGGAGGGCCATTGCAGATTGAGTGGAGAGAGGAGGACAACCATATATACATGACAGGCCCGGCTGAAGTAGTTTTTTATGGATCTGTGCCCCTATGATTCATTTCGAAAAAATTGCATCTGCATGAGGATAGGTTTTGTTATTTAAATTCACCTGAAGAATTGCAAGTCGAGCTGTAACGTGTGCAGATATAGAAAACATCTTCTGCATTTCTCTCTAAGCTTTTACGAAAGTCGAATTCCTCAAAGAATTGATGTGCTTGGCTTGCCAACACGCCCTTTCCCCAGTTCTAATAAGCTATTGCATCATAGCAGTCATCCTATGCACAGTTTGAGCTTCCGCACGATTAATTTGTTTGAGTGTGACGAGTTTATACTATTAAGGTAGCAAAATGCGGTGTTATGGTCATATCGAAAAAATTTATCCTCTTGTAGAAGACATGGATGGATCATTAGTTGCAGTAAGAGTAATCATAATGGGAGCCAAATGGCCATCTAATCTAACGTTTGATTTGTAAATGATGTTAAGAGACAGTCGTACTCCACTTTACCCTATCTCCTTCACGAGGCGCTCCACCAATTCACCATTGTCTCCTCGTAAGCTTTTACCAAGCACACGCCCTTTAATCATAGTTTGATGTTGAAGCGGAGTTCAAGTAGATAAGCCTGGCAGCTTTTGTCATGATGGTAGTAAGCTTTTGAAATCTTTGCTTCAACATAAATCAGCTTTGATTTGAAACTTTGGAAATGTTGTAAATATTGCTTTATTTTGGGCCGAGCACACGAAACGTACATTAGACTTACCAGTAATCTAAACAAATCAATGGAAGATTATCATTATCGTGCACACGTGTGTAATAGAAACAATCTCTTTTTAATACATTTTCTCTTCTCCATTTTGGAAAAGAAAACCCGATTGCTTGCCTCTAAGTTGAGGAGAATTTATTTCTGACTTATTTTTTAAATTAAAACAATTTTTAACTCTTTCATTCTTTGTTATAACAATTATGTTAAATTATTAGATGAAGTATACGAGCTTGTTACACACACACAATCATGGAGTTCGAACTTGAGACCACTAGTTTACAAGTTAATGTTATTTTCTATTGAACTAGACCATGTTGGCTTGATTCTATTTTTCTTTATTAATGGAAAATGAGAAATTTGATTGAGACGTGTTCCAATGTTAAGAAGAAAAACAGAATTAGTTGGTGTTTCTCATTTTCTTAAAATTCGGTAAACTCACTGTGATTCAATGTGAATAAGATTTTATAGTTCAATCGTTTTTTTTTTCTTTTTTAAAGAAATCAAATGTAATTCGATTTAGAGTTAAAATCATCAATGTTTAGCAGTTCACGAAGGAAGGAAGTTATCTTAAATGCTATCATTTTCTGTACCCAAAAAAAAATGCTATCATTTTCAAATTTACCCAAGCGCGACTCAGGCTACGCGCCTCATTTGAATTTTCACGACCGACCCCACCACATTTGAAAAACGCATAGATTTCTGTCTGGCCCCAACGGCCACTTCCCTCCCTATACAAAAACCCACGGTAGCCGTTGGAGAATCAGACCACCACTTTCTTCCTCATTTCAAAATCACGATTCGATCTTTCCCTAGAACCCTAAAAAAAACAACCTTTTATTTCGCTGAAAGAGGAAGACGAAAGAAAGCTTTCTTTTTCCTTGCTCTCATTTCAATTACCGAACCCTACTTCTCTGGTTGTGAATTTAAGGCAGATATATCCTTAATTGAATTGGGCTTCATCAGGCTATACATAAATTACAGAGGTATTTTCTTATCTTCTTCGGGTCCCAAATCACTGGTATATCTAATGCACGGATTTCATTACCAAAGATGCATGTTAGAGTTTTTTTTTCTGGTTATGGTGATTAGGGTCCTTTTCTGGATGTAAATTGAGTTAATTGATCGGCACGAAATGTTTCGACATTGTTGGTCAGGGCTTTAGGGGTTTGTCATTCTGTGGTTGATATGATTTATAATATACATGGTGATGAACATGAACTGTGTTGATGTTTGCTTAGGTTTGAAAGAGAAAAAAAAGTGATGTCAGTCACCCCTGATCAGTCTAAGAAAGTTGGGGTGGGGGTGTCACCGTCCCCATCTCCTTTCCTTACACCTCGTCCCGAAAGGCGGCGCAGAACACTTGAGTGGAATCCAAATCGTCAGGACAAGGATAAAGAGGTTAATGTGCAAGTTCTGCTTAGATGCAGGTGAGTTTTATGTAATCTCCTCATTTGTTAAATAAAATCAAATAAAGTTTTGCTGGTCTGTGGATTTTTGTGGCCTTCTCAGTTTATGCTTCAATTTCTGACTTGAAATCTCAATCATTTGGTGAGTTTCATTGGGATGTTAGTTAGTCCTCACCCAAATATTGCTATCCCAACTTAATGTTGCCAACATTATGGGTGAACTGTATGGGCTGGGATTTGGATGAGAATCATAGTGAAGTTTACTTTGTTCGGCATTGAATTTGAGATATTTAACAAGCATTAGATTATACTTATGCCAACTGCTGCTTTCCCAACTTCTTTGTACTTGCACTTACGACTGTAGAAAATTATTCTACTTCTCGTTTAATTGTTGACAAAATTTTCAACAGCTGGACCGTAGAAATGTTTCTTTACACAGTCTTCATGTCATTGAAGTTGTGTAGCTTCGAATTGTGTTTTATTTTTTGACATAGATTTGTAGTGTAACATTATTATGCCAGATGGATTTATCGTTTGCTTAATTTTAATTCAAAAAATTTATCTTAAGTTCTAAACTTTTGTGTGTAAGATCATTCTTGTGTACATCTGATTAATTATCCCGTTGGTTTATTGTTGATTTTGATTTCAGGCCTCTAAGTGATGATGAGCAAAGGTTGAACGTCCAGAAGGTGATATCCTGTAATGAACACAAAAGAGAAGTCACTGTTTTGCAAAGTCTAAATAACAAGCAAGTCGATAGAGTTTTCACTTTTGACAGGGTATGCTTCAATCTCCGTTGTGATAATATTACTTCATAATACAATCTTATGATGATCAACACGTCAAAGTTATCTTATTTATTTTAATTTGCTAGGTTTTTGGGCCAAAATCACAGCAAAAATCAATATATGACCAAGCAATTTCCCCAATAGTTAATGAAGTTCTCGACGGATTCAACTGCACTGTATTTGCATATGGGCAGACAGGCACTGGTAAAACTTATACAATGGAAGGTGGGATGAGAAATAAGGTACAGATTGATCATCTAGTCATCCACTTGCTTTGACTGGCAATTTAAAATATCTTCTCTCCTCATTGTACACATAACATTTCTTGTAGAGTGGCAATTTGCCTGCTGAGGCTGGTGTTATTCCACGGGCTGTTCGACACATTTTTGAGACACTTGAAGCACAAAATGCTGACTACAGTGTGAAAGTAACGTTCTTAGAAATATATAATGAAGAAATAACTGATTTACTAGCGCCTGATGATAATCCAAGAACTGCAGAAGACAGGCAAAGGAAATCTATTTCCCTGATGGAGGATGGAAAGGGTTGTGTGATAGTAAGAGGCCTTGAAGAAGAAGCTGTGTATAATGTAAATGAAATTTATACTGTCTTGGAAAGAGGGTCTGCCAAAAGGCGTACAGCAGACACTCTGTTGAACAAGCGCAGCAGGTATTTTTTCCTCAGTTACTAGCAATATGTTGACTCTAGAAGACCATTTATCAATTTTTGTCCCTTTTTCTTGTTTGCAGTCGCTCTCATTCTGTCTTTTCCATTACTGTCCATATAAAAGAAGCAACAGTTGGTGATGAGGAGCTAATAAAATGTGGCAAAATTAATCTTGTCGATCTGGCAGGATCAGAAAACATATCTCGTTCAGGTGCACGAGAGGTATTATTATAAATTTTCTTGTCTTAAAGCTTGCTGTCTGGGCAAACATGATCTAGTTATTTAAATTGCAGCCATAATTGTGTTTTATAAAATTTAGGTTCTTCATGTTGTATTAGTTCTGTCCAGTAGTACAATGGTTGATCTAGTTTACATTTCAAAGAAATGACAGCCCGTACTTGGCTTCTAAATGAGTTTAACAGTTTCCTAACTTCAAAACTAGACTTTATATCAGAGATTGATGAAACTTGTGTTTAAAACTGTAGGGACGTGCAAGAGAAGCGGGGGAGATAAATAAGAGCTTGCTCACACTGGGCCGTGTCATAAATGCACTAGTGGAACATTCCACTCACATACCTTACAGGTACATACTGATATGTAATGTCTCTTTGTTACAATATTTGGCAGTTCACTATCTTCCTTTCTATTTTCTGTATGTTTATTCAACTGTGCCGACTCTATCTTCAGGGACAGTAAGCTTACAAGACTTTTAAGAGATTCTTTGGGAGGCAAAACAAAAACCTGCATCATTGCCACAATTTCTCCAACTGCTCAGTGCATGGAAGAAACCCTAAGCACACTGGATTATGCCTGTCGTGCCAAGAACATTAAAAACAAACCTGAGGTTTGTTTGGATTATTATTTTTGCCTCCTTTTTTATTTCTCCGAATGTATTTCTTTACGATGATGATGATGTTGATGAAGCTTATTCTTGCAGGCAAACCAGAAAATGTCAAAGGCTGTGCTGCTCAGGGATTTGTATTCAGAGATTGAGAGAATGAAAGAAGGTTGGATGGCACACTTGGATTGGTGTTTAATTTTATTTTAATCTGTTTAACTTGGATTGGTGTTTAATTTTCTTTAATCTGTTTAAAAACGAATGCAGAGGTTCGGGCAGCACGGGAAAAGAATGGTGTTTATATTCCGCGTGAAAGATTTGTCCAGGAGGAAGCTGAAAAAAAGGTAAATATTGCTTGCCAGCTTTCTTGTTTTAGCATGACAATATTCAACTATATATGAGGACCTCAAACTAGGTGAACACAAACAGATAATAAATGTTGCCTGTTTTGCATTTGTACTGATGTAGCTTAATCTGTTTAAAACCTGGAAACCCTGCAGGCCAGGATTGAGAAAATAGAGCAATTGGAAAATGATCTCAACCTCACAGAAAAGGTACATTTTCTTGCTCATTGGTTAATATCTCTGCTATGATATTCATGTCATCAAACTCACTTATATTCATGTCATCAAACTCACTTCTTCTTGCAGCAAGCGGAGAGTTTTCGTGAGCTCTATCTCAGCGAACAAGAACAGAAACTGGATTTACAAAGTGAGCTGAAGGCATGCAAGGTATGCATGGACTTAGCATTATTGCCGTAGTCTTTTCAGTGTATGCATGGACTTAGCATTATTGCCGTAGTCTTTTCAGTGTATGCATGCATCTTATTAGGAATTCAATTTTGTCTTTCTCAGATAAGTCTGGAAACTAGTAACAAGGCACTGCTTGATCTTCAAGAGAAATACCAGGTAGCAATCACAACCTTGAAAGAGAAGGAGCTTATTATCTCCAAAATGCTATTCTCAGGTAAGACAGACAATTGAGATATTGTTGAGAAAATTTTGTCCCTCTTTCTTAATATTTGAGTTATTGGTGACAAATGTCTTGCTCATATAACAGAAAATCTTTTAATTGGACGTGCAAAGGAGTTACGAACTGATTTGCAGAATGCATCAGAGGAAATGAATTCCCTATATGAAAAATTAGGTAAGATAAATTAACTTCAGTATGCAAGCTCATAAGCATCCCTCATACAGAAAAGTATTGTGTCCTGCATATTTAGTAGCAGAAAAGCTTTTAATTGGACGTGCAAAGGAGTTACGAACTGATTTGCAGAATGCATCAGAGGAAATGAATTCCCTATATGAAAAATTAACTTCAGTATGCAAGCATAAGCATCCCTCATACAGAAAAGTATTGTGTCCTGCATATTTAGTAATTGGTAAAAAAATTAATGGTTATGAAGGAAGTTGAGGTTCCACCCCAAAACCAATTGGCAATGAGGGGAGTAGCCCAACTCCTTATAAACCCAGGCTTGGTCCCTTAACTTTTCAATGTGGGACAAATACTCTCAACACGCACCCGCACGTGTGGTGAACTTTCAAGCCTAACACGTGAACACATATTGGGTGACGTGTGGGAGCACGTGTGGCCGTTAGGTCCAACACGTGAAGCCTTGCTCTGATACCATGAAGGAAGTTGAGGTTCCACCCCAAAACCAATTGGCAATGAGGGGAGTAGCCCAACTCCTTATAAACCCAGGCTTGGTCCCTTAACTTTTCAATGTGGGACAAATACTCTCAACAGGTTATTATTCTATTATTTGTTTACATCTTCTGGCTGGACGTTAAGACAAGAAAGCTAAAGTATCCTTTCAAATAGGCAAGGAGAAATATAGAAAAGAATAACAGACAACAAAAGATGATGAAGATGAAGGGAAATGAAAGTGTTTAGAGACCTAGGCATTATCATATCTAGTGCTTTTTGCTCTCTGCAGAGCAATATGCTATGCTTGCCTTGGAGATTTTGTTATGTCATGCAATATGCTATGCTTGCCTTGGAGATTTTGTTATGTCATGCAATATGCTATGCTTGCCTTGGAGATTTTGTTATGTCATGCAATATGCTATGCTTGCCTTGGAGATTTTGTTATGTCATGCAATATGCTATGCTTGCCTTGGAGATTTTGTTATGTCATGCAATATGCTATGCTTGCCTTGGTTTTACTGGTTATTTGTTTGTTAACGCTATTATTATTAACAGGCAGCACAGGTACTGGATTCAAAGATTAAGAAGATAACAGAGACATACAGTTCTGGAGTATCAGCCTTGAAGGAGCTAGCCAACATGCTGAAAACGAAAGCATCATCTGACCTGGAGCAGATAAATGCTAAGGTGTTATCACAGACAGTGGCCGTTGAGAAGGTAATGGTCTCAATTTCCCTTACCATTCATAGAATGCCCTCAATTTAATAGCTGACTGTTGTACAATGTTTGTCTTTGTAGTTTCTTGTAACTGCAGTTATGGAAGCCAATGAGGTCATCCAAGATATCCAGTACTCTCTTGATGAGCAGAAACAGCTGTTGGCTTTCTCCACTCGACAACAAGAGGAGGTAGGTTTGTAGTTTTTATTTTCATACTTGTTATAATGTGCACTTGAAAAGATTAAGATTCTTAATATTTGAGTACAACTTTAGGTGTTGCAACGAAGTTTGATTTCCACACAAGTAATTTCAAAGGCCACTGGGAACTTTTTTGATGACCTTCATGACCGTGCTTGTCAAGTCATGAGAAGTCTTGAAGAAAGCCAAATCCAACGAGTCCACCAATTAGTGAATTTTGAGAAGATGTTTAAGGTAAGTGCACCCTACAGGTGAATTTCAGAACTAGGTATGATAAATGCTGATGAGCTTTCGTTGCCTTAAAAAACAGGAAGAAGCTGCTAAAGAGGAAAAACAGGCTATGGAAAAAATTGCAGTAATATTAGCAACTTTGACATCTAAGAAAGCTTCAATTGTAAGTATTTTCTCTTCTTCTTTTTTTTTTTTTTGTCACTGGAATTAGAATAGTTTGTCGGTATTGTTTAACTGACATTTAGACAAATAAATATTAGGTGTCAAAGGCATCAACCAACATCCAGGACACAAGTAAACAAGATAATACCAGGTTGCAAAAGGAGATGTTTGTCATCCAACAAGTGGCAACGGATGCTGGGAAGGAGTTGAGCGAATATTTTGGAAAGGTGGAAAGTAACTTCATGACAGACACATTCTCAGCAGCTGAGTCTCATGCAATCATGGAAAACTGCCTCCAAGAGTGGTAAGTTTATTCATTTTCTTCTCAAATTTTATCTATTTAATCTTTCAAAAGGATCAATATAAACACAGGAATACACATAAACCTGAATTAAATCTAGAAAAGATGCAGTTATATCCTCGATTTGTATAAGAAAAGCCACAGTATTCTAGTATTGCAGCTGCAGTGGGGTTGTCCCTTATGAATATGTCTCTTCATATAACTTTTTACTTCCTATGGTATATGCAGCTCAGAGAGAGTGGGCAATTCTAGGAAACAGTGGGAAAAGGCCCAGTTAGCCATAAACACTCTTAATCAGAACAGTGTTGCAAAGATTGAAGCTACTGTGAAGTGAGTTTCCATTCCTTGACTCATCAATCAAAACTTCTAGGCTTTGTTTGTTCTACCCTTCTAATGCTCTATTGAAATTTCCTTTCCTTGCTTCAACAGGGAAAATATATCTGCAAACCATTCTGCACATGAAGAGTTTGTTTCCACATCTTCCCACGTGGATGCAGATTTCAATGCCATAGCCTCTGACACGTTGTCATGCGTTAATGGTAATTTGAATTTACTTGTGCAATGAAGTAATTCACTCCCTATGGATAATCCACTCTTCTAATGCCTAACTGGTGATTTAAAAACTTGCAGCTTCACTAATGCTGGACCACGAAAAGACAAAGGAAATAGACTCCATGGCAACCTTGTGCTTGGATCAACTCAAATCAGTGCAAGATAAGCATGGTGAAGGTGTATCAACTATACGAAATGAAGCAGAAAAGCGCCTTGTAAAAGATTATCTGGTATGTTGCCCTTCTGAGATGGAAATATGGAAAAGATTATGTTAGTATAGGGTCAACTTCATTGCATAAAGCCTAATATCATTGCTGTTTGGTATGGTGATGAACAGGTTGATAAGCATAGTGGTGGAACTAAAAAACGAGTTATAGCTGTCCCCACCGTGGAATCTATTGAGGAGATGAGAAGCTCCATTGAAGTCACAGAAGACTGTATTTCTGACAACAAATCGAAACGGAGCCAAATGGAAAGCAAGACCCCAGGTCCTAGAACTCCTTTTGCAGATGTCAACTGATGTTGGATGATGCTCCATTTCGAAATTTCAAGGCATGCTCATCAACTGATGAGCTATGAACACTACTAGTCCATCTATTTTCTACGATTGAAAAGTCCGATGATGCGCGATGGAAATGTCTAATGTTCCCCCATTTGCTTCCCAGAAGTTGAGAATAATATTGTAATATTTTGTAGTTGCCAACTTGCCATAAATGAAAACAATTACAAGTTTCTCCAACTCCTCTACAATTGTCTCCAACGCCTCTAACTGATCAAATTTAGAATGTTGAAAAACACCAGAAAGATGAAAGCTGCTCAAATTATGCCTTCAGTGTGTCCCCACACGTTGAGGCATGTTCCTTGCATCTGCTGCTCATAGATAGGTTAGTGGTGCCGTTGAGGTGCCGTTGAGGACATTTAGGTGCACCAGTAATTCAGTTATATTTTCTTCGACTTTGTTTGGCAAGACTGGACTATTAATCATCCTTCATGCTGAAGACATTTAGGTGATTCTCTGTGTGCTTTCCAACAAAAGTGCTTTTTTCGCTAGTTCATCTATTTTCTACGATTGAAAAGTCCGATGATGCGCGATGGAAATGTCTAATGTTCCCCCATTTGCTTCCCAGAAGTTAAGAATAATATTGTAATATTTTGTAGTTGCCAACTTGCCATAAATGAAAACAATTACAAGTTTCTCCAACTCCTCTACAATTTGTCTCCAACGCCTCTAACTGATCAAATTTAGAATGTTGAAAAACACCAGAAAGATGAAAGCTGCTCAAATTATGCCTTCAGTGTGTCCCCACACGTTGAGGCATGTTCCTTGCATCTGCTGCTCATAGATAGGTTAGTGGTGCCGTTGAGGTGCCGTTGAGGACATTTAGGTGCACCAGTAATTCAGTTATATTTTCTTCGACTTTGTTTGGCAAGACTGGACTATTAATCATCCTTCATGCTGAAGACATTTAGGTGATTCTCTGTGTGCTTTCCAACAAAAGTGCTTTTTTCTGACTTCAATGTCTGAACAATCTGAAATACCTTGGAAGCTGCAAAGGAGATTCCTTTTTGCAGCTTCCTTCAAACTTCGTAGTTCATAGACATAGCCTCCACTAATGACCCGCTGCAACAGTTTTACAACTGGTCTTATAACCAAAGACTGGTCAACGCTCACCACGTGCTCGTATATCTAAATTCACTTTGTTTTCTTCATTACAAAAGGATTGGTCTCCAAGTCAAAGAAAAAAAAACAAGGGGTCAAACCCTTGAGTACCCAAAAAGCCAATGAAACGCACTACACTCTTGGGTTTCCTTAACGCGGATTAGAGGGCAATACGTCATTTCCTAACTCACACCAAACCCCTATAAATACAACACAACTGAAGCCTTCTTCCATATCAAAAACTACACTTTGTTTTTGGTTTGAGACATTTGACCAGCTTGTACGTTGCTTTTGCTTAGCCATGAAGAGAATGAGAGAAGATGAAGTAGGGTTAGGGATGAAGGGTTTGGACATGGAAAAGTTCCTCATGCTACTCTCATGTGGCATGGAGACCAAGTTTAGAAATTGTTCATCTCCAAACGATGTGTTTGAGTGCAAAACTTGCAACCGAAAATTCCCATCGTTCCAAGCTCTTGGTGGCCACAGAGCAAGCCACAAGAGGCCGAGAACATCAATGGATCATGATCAACAAAGTGAGACAAGAAAAGGAAGCAATTTGATGGCAACGAAGAACAAGCCGAAAGCGCACCAGTGCCCCATTTGTGGCCTAGAGTTTGGCATGGGACAGGCTCTGGGTGGCCATATGAGGAGGCACAGAGCTTCCAACATGAACCTGGGATTTTCTTCTAAAGTTCCTGATGAGGTTGTTGTCGCTTCGAAGATTCCGGTGCTGAAAAGGTCGAGTAGCAAGAGGATTATGTGCTTGGAGATGGACTTGAACTTGACGCCACTGGAGAATGACTTGAAGTTATTGTTTGGGAAGATGGCTCCAAAAGTTGATGCTTTTGTTTCATAATTTTTTATGTACATGTCACACCATTGTATTCTTTTTATTATTCTTTCGTTAATTTATATCATGTACAATGTTATTAATTGAATTAATAGATACGATTCTTTTTAATTACTTATTGGGTTCTCATTGGTGATATCGTTTGATGGAGAATTGTATGGAATAAGAAAGGTTCGCTTATGTTGTGCGGAGAAAACTAGCGTTGATCAAAGCAAAATAAATTAAACAATTCTGTTAAAAGAAACTAAAAAAATGGGCAACTTGTTCTTCCAACAGCTTGAAAAAGTTTTTTTCAAAGGAAATTTAGGGTAGGAATATGGAACATTTATGCAACTACGTACTTTGGTTAAATTGGACTAGTACTTGGTCCATTTGGGAGTGCTTTAGAAGGACTAAAAACGTTTATAACAGTGTTTGGCAAAAAAGTTTAGAAGTGTCTTTCAGTCATAGAAGCGCTTTCTGGAGAAGACCCTGCCATGTGTTTCTTCATGAAACACTCCCAAATGCTTTTTCAAGAAGCACTTCGATTTTTTATGAAAATTTCAACCTTTTTATAATAAAATCTCTTTTGTTAGAAGCGCTTATGAGCATAAGTGCTTCCTAGAGAAGCAGTCCCAAACCATCCAATCGTACAAAGGTAGAATTGGACTACTTTGAAACCAAAGAAAAAAGAAGTCAAATAGTTTTTAAGAATATGTCTGACAAGGAAGGTTAACTAGTTATGTGAACTAAGACATATTATCGCGTGGATATTAAGTTATAGCGGCAAATGACTACTAGTTTAATGGTTTAGAGCAATTGCTCCCTCCCGAAAAGGTCCTCAAATAGATTGAGAAAATGATTATTATTTTCAACAAATCTAGCAACATAGAGCTGCATTATGTTCATTTTTGAAATGTGGAATATAAGGTCCCTATCGACTGTTTTATTTCTTCTTATTTTCTTATTGTATCAATTATAACATATGGATGCACCTAATCATTGTCATTTAATACCTTTGGTAGTTGCTAGCAGTTTGTGCGTCTGACTCCTCTAGATGTTTCAAGGTTATCTTATCATTAATACACTATTAGAAAAAAGAAATAAATAGAATTTAAAAAAAAAAATAAAGTATGAATATTTGACTGTGTATGTGGGCCAAGTCCAAAAGCACTTTCTGGAGAAGACTCTGCCATGTGTTTCTTCATTAAGCACTCCCAAATGCTTTTCCAAGAAGCACTTCGATTTTTTATGAAAATTTTGAATCTTTTTTTATAAGAAAAGCTCTTTTGTTAGAAGCACTTATGAGCATAAGTGCTTCCCAAAAAAGCAGTCCTAAACCATCCAGTCGTACAAAGGTAGAATTGGACTACTTTGAAACCAAAGAAAAAATAAGTCGAATAGTTTTTAATAATATGTCTGACAAGGAAGGTTAACTAGTTATGTGAACTAAGACATATTATCGCGTGGATATTAAGTTATAGCGGCAAATGACCACTAGTTTAATGGTTTAGAGCAATTGCTCCCTCCCGAAAAGGTCCTCAAATAGATTGAGAAAATGATGATTATTTTCAACAAATCTAGCAACATAGAGCTGCATTGTGTTCATTTTTGAAATGTGTAATATAAGGTCCCTATCGACTGTTTTATTTCTTCTTCTTTTCTTATTGTATCAATTATAACATATGGATGCACCTAATCATTGTCATTTAATACCTTTGGTAGTTGCTAGCAGTTTGTGTATCTCACTCCTCTAGATGTTTCGAGGTTATCTTATCATTAATACACTATTAGAAAAAAGAAATAAATAGAATTTTTAAAAAAAATAAAGTATGAATATTTGACTGTGTATGTGGGCCAAGTCCATGTTTGAAAAGTTGGTCTAAAAAGAGGGGTACGAAATCCATGAAGCATTCGTGTGCCTTCCATGAATATATGGGCTTTCCTTCCACCTTCCTCCTCCAGTGACTCCTACGCGTACCCTCTTAACAATCTGAAACAACATTCTTTCATATGGGCTAAGTTATCTAGAAACAAGATCTCTGTTTCGTAGTCCTCTAAAATTCTTTATCATACATAATTAATAATATTCTAGAATGATACTAAAATTACATAGAAATTCTCCTGTGCAGATGTTCGGATGTTATTATCATGCGGATGTGCCATATATCTTCTACTATCCCTTTCTACTTTTCTCTCCATTTACAATGGCATAACGTGCGGACATCTGAATGAGAGAATAACTGTAAAATTATATGAATCTTAACATAACGTGTGATTTAAATTTACAGTCTTGTAACATAAGTATTTATCTAGGGAGGAACGAATTAGAGTAATTCTGAATATAACATATGGTTTAGATTTACAGTCTCGTAATTATAAGCACTTATCTGGGACAAACATTCTTATTATATGCATTAGATTTGGATTTGCTTTAGAAGATTTTCCACCTTAATTAAGGAGAATCTTTAAGTGCACGATTATTCTTTGCCTTCTGAAGATGACACATTTGGCCAGCTCTGTGAATTGATGCACTGAAAAGACAATGCTTTGCCTTTGATTGAATTGAATTGAAAGTGAAAGATGTCTTTTCAAATCCTTGTCACAGAGTCTGAAACAGCCAAACTGAATGAACCTTATTTACCTTGTTAATGGAGCATACGAGTTTCCGGGGCTGAACAAGGACACCGCCATCATTCACTGGCTAAATTGGGGGAGGGAGAAGAAAGCTGGACGTGTGCCCTATCTTTAATCTTTTTCCCAGCCACATCATATCACCCTTTCACATTTATATCCGTCGGTCCAATTTGCTATAAGTTACTGGGTACGTGATTTGAGCTGCCCAAGTGGTGTTGCATGCATTGGTGCACTACCATAGCGACTCTTACTTTTTCCTTTTGCTTTATTATTATATGTACAGTACAATCAACAACATGAAAATTCTCACCTCTTTCTGATTCCTATTTGCTTTCAATTTGTGAAGCAGACTCATTATCCTCAAATTATTGCCGTGAGTTTAATTGAAATGTAATTGGGCTTAAAGGATCTCCCATTTGCATAATTATCTCTTGGTGGGAT